GAGGCCCCAGCACTCTCACCCGTGTGCCGGTTGGAGCCGTCCAGGCTGGCAAACTCGATGTAGTCCTCCCGCGCGTCGGCCCAGTAGATCCGGCTGTTGATGTAGTCGAGGGTGAGGCCATTGGGCCAAGTTATCTTGGTGTCAACGATGACGCTGCGGTTGGTGCCATCCATGCCGATCTTCCCGATGAGGGAGTGGTCCCCCCAGTCTGTCCAGTACAGGTAACTGGGGATGAAGCAGAAGAGCGGAAGGATGCTGAGTCCGGCCCAAGCCACGCTGCCCATTGCGTGGAGGTGCCCGGGCACCTGGGTGCAGGGCAGGAGAAGCAGCCAGGTGTCTTGGAGACGACCTGCCAGCCCCCTCCCTGCGTCGAGGGGAAGGTCCGGGTCCCCCAGGCTCTCACCCATTCTGCACGTCCACCACCAGAGCGCGGGGCTCACGCAGACCCGAGTTCACCAGCACGGTGCGGTACGCGCCGTTGAGCTTCGACACCTCGATGGTGTCCCGACCTTTGTCGCACCAGTACAGGTTGCCTCCCACCCAGTCCACTGCCAGCCCGTCAGGGTTGCTGAGGCCGGTGCGGTGAAGAACCTGTTGGGAGAAAACAGAGATGTTGGGACTGGACAGGGAGAACCAGATCCCATCCCGGTCCCCCAGGGATGACAACATCCCCTTTCCTTGGCACATCGCCCCTGCAGATGGTCCTGCCCAGCTCCCTTTCCTCACTCCTCTCTCCTCCAACCCTCCTTGCCAACTGTGCTGGGGCAGCATGGAGCCCACCTCTGATTGGGACAGTGCTGCAAAACATCCCTGTAGCAACCTTGGCTGATGCCCAGCAATGGCCCCACGGCAGGGCCCGTGCCCACTTCCCCCGTGGCCTCTCTGTGCAGGGGGTGGGTGAGGACCAGCTGCCCAGACCGGGGGTGCCCGAGGGGCTACCCCAGTCCCCCACCTGAACGTTGCTCCCGTTGATGTGCATGCGGCGGATCATGCTGCCCTGTGTGGTGACATCTGTCCAGTAGATCATCTGCTCCCGATAGTCGAAATCCAGAGCCACCGCGTTGTTCAGCCCCTGGGAGGAAGGGAGAAGCATTGAAACAGCCTCACCCACCAGCACAGGGTCACGGCAGCTTTACAAAGACCAGTGAGCCCCCAGCCTCAACCCCCAGTCCCTGCAGCAGAGAAGTTAAAAGCACCTACAGACAACTGTTGTGCAGCCCCCACCTTACACAGCTCTGCCAGCAAAGAGCTGCTGACTGCACAGCACCTCCTGGACACCCACAGCGAGGGCTGCTGTTTACACAGGACCCATCGACTGCCCGGGGAGCCAAGAGCCCAAACTCCCAGGCCCCTGCAGGGCCACTCTCCAACCCTGAACCCCTGGCATGCGGGGCAGAGCTGGTGCCCCTCCTGCTCCCGGCTCCCCTCGCACCTGCTTGAGCAGCGTGTAGTTGGAGCCATCCAGGTTGAGCTTCCTCAGGTAGTACCGGTTGGCAAAGATGAGGAAGGGCTCTTCATCTGCACAAGGAAACCATCAGGGAGGCACTGCTGGGGTGCGGGCAGATCCCCTGTGGACCTGCCGCCCTCCCTGCCCCACTGCTCCTCAGCTCTCCGTGAGTCAGGTGCAGCTACTTTGCCATGCGGAGCACCGTGACCGACTCCAATGCCAGCAAAGTCCCACGGTCATCAGAAGAGCATCTCCACCTCTGAGTCCGCTCTCAGCTCTCACCTGTGACAGCTTTACAGCTGGTGGGGTCGTCAGGTTTGAGCTTGTAGCCCTCTATGCACAGGCACTTGTAGCTCCCCAGAGTGTTGATGCACTTCTGGCTGCAGGGGTAGGTGGTGGAGCACTCGTCGATGTCAATGCACGTCTTCCCGTCGTCCTTCAGCCGGAACCCGGGACGGCATCTACACTGCAGGAGACAACTCGGAGCTGTTAGACATATCCCGGGCCCGCACGCTGGGACATGACAGCCATCTCCCTGGGCTGAGCGGGCTCGGGCACGGACAGCTTGCAGATGCAAGAGCAGCACGCACACCACAGGCTGAAAGCACTCGCGTGCGCACCCCTGGCCCAGCCGGCGCAGGACGGGAGC